TTGGCGACGGGGAGGATGCTCCCGCACCCCCGGGAACCCGCCGGGCTGCGAGCTCTGAGTGCAGGGGAAAGCAAAGCAAAGCCTTTTATATCCTCATCGACTGCACTCCTCCTCCTCCTCCTCCTTCTCCACCTCCTCCTCCTCCCCGGGTGTTGAGTTACAGACTTTGGGAGGATGGTCCGAATTTGCTGAGCCCCAATGACTATCTTCAAACTGCTGAGATCCCAAGTGACAGCCCTCTGCCTCCTTTTCGTGGTGCCTTTTTTTTTAAGCCCCCCCTTTTTTTTTTTCCTCCCCTCCTCCTTTTCATTATTTCTACAGGCCCGTTGGCAACCAGGATCATCCAGGGTTGTCCTCTTTGCCTGGAGAGCATAAATACCACTGGGGAGCTCTGTGAGACTGCACTTGGTACGAGCTGCTGAGCTGAGACCTTGCATTCCTCGCACCTCCTGAGGCTCATTTCACCCTTTTCTCCCCACCTCCTCCTAGTTGAAATATCTCAGATCTGTAATTTATTGTCCACAAGCAGCCTTGGAGGAGCTACAATTTCCTGGGGACTTGGGAAGTAGTCGGTGAGGTAAGTGTCAGCTTTGGTCCCTGCTTCTGAAATGTGGTTTGGGGGGATGGGGATGCATGCAAGAGATGTCTCTCTATGTTTAGGTAGGCACAATTTTAGTAACTTCTCCAAAAAGCTGCCTGCAAGATATAAAATAGGATGATGCTGCCTGAGCTTCCCTTATGTGTGCTTTGTGGAGGCTAATGCAAGATTAAGAAACATTAACCTTGAATGAATGGGAGGAGTTTGCATGTACAGGAGTGGATTTTGTCAGAAATAGTGAATATCTGAGGGATGCTGTGGCAGTCTGGAATGGCTGCCTGCCCGTGGGCACATCCAGGCTGCTCCAGGGCGCCTGTGTTTGTGCAGCTCTGCTCTGAAGTCCCATCCGAAAGGAATTTCACAGTGTCGCCACATGTTGTGTCTGTTACCACTGGGTTTTCCGTGTGGTTTTGCGTAGAAACTCACCCATTCCAGTTCTGTGGGACTGGATTGTAATGGGAGATGCAGATGTTCTGGCCCCTGGCCCTCGAGATGCTGAATGCACTTCTCTTTTGAAGCCAACACCATTCTTCAAAGCTTGAAATGTGCATCTGGGTTAGATAAGTGACCTGGGGTTTAATGCATTAAGTATGTTGTGGCTTTATTTTGGGGTTTCTTTGCACAGGTTAAAAGCTGATCCTAGGCTGACCCTGCTCTGCTTTGCTGTTTGAGATGCTTTGCCGGTATCCCCTGCTAACTCGCATTTTCCTGCCCTCTCAGCTTGTTCCAGCTATAACTCCGCAGGTCCTGGGATGTTTTGGCTGCAGATGTGATCCATAACCAAGGAGTAGAGACAACTCGTGTACTTTATCAGTGAGGCAGTCAGAGATCAGTAGTAGCTGTGAGGAGCAAGGTGAAGTGAGGACATAGCGCAGTCCAGCAGCCATCCTCTGTGAAATGCAGATGCCATCCATTAGCTGGGGAAATAGCTTTCTGAAAATAATCTTTTCCAAAGTCCGGTGCTGCTTTTTAACTTCCTCAGACCCCGGAAGAAGGCGTCCCTTTTGTCCCCAGTTACAGCACATTAAGGACTCGGTTTCTGATCGCTCCCAGATGTTTACCTGGCACCAGTATCAAGGGCCTGATGGGTTTCAAGGGAAGCTGTGCTGAATGTTCCTCTTGAACCTCTGGAAACAACAGCAGGCACTTCCTCAGCTGACTGTCAGCTGATAATTTTCTCCAAATAATGTCAAATCCCAACTCAAAAGCGAGATTATTTCGATCTTCCCCCATGAGGAGCTGCTGATGCAGCCCAGGGCCATTGCCCCAGGGACTCAGCTTTAACACATGTCCGAGTGTTTAATTCCCCTTGCCATGAGGATACTGAGAGAGGCAAGGGGATGGACATCTGAAATCGTTGAGAGCTTGCTGAAATGTGAGCATCCAGCTGCTGCTTTCAGTTAATCTGCCCAGGGAGCAGCCCTCTCTGATCACTTCATCCTTCCTTTGGATGCTCAGTGCTCCCCACCTCCAGCCAAAGCAGAGGCAGGAGCCTGCACATCCCAAGTGAAAAGGAAGATAGTGCCAAGGTGACCTAATTTTAGAGAGGTGCTGGTATTCCCTCACTTGCAAATGGGACGCAGGGAACATCCCGAGGAATAATGTCCCATCTGTTGCAAGCTTTTGGCTGGGGAACTAAACCAGACGCGTTGGCTTGGTTGCGTAGCCGTGAGTGGGGCAGCTCCTCTGGGCTTTCAGATGTTACAGCTGATTTTTTTTTAAATATTTTTTTTTCTTTTTTCCGAGCTGCCCTTTCTGTAAGTTCAGTGTTCGCCTTAAATGGGTGGTGGATACGGGCTCCTATTTAGCGGAGGGCAGGCGGCCAAGTGGAGGGGTACGAGTGCCGCGTATGTGAGCTGTCTGTTCCTCTCTGCTCGACCTACAGGGCAGGCTGCAGCCAGCACGGCTTCTGCTAAATGGCCACTTTGTCACTGGCTGGGGCAGAGCATCTATTTTTAAAGCCTTAGGGAAGTGCCTCAAAGTAGGGGAATTGTGCCCTGAATTTGGGTCAGACAGTCTACAAGAGCAGTGGCTCGTTTTGCTCTACCCCTCTGTTGCTTAGAAAGTTGGGCTCCTGCTTGGGGGGAAGTAAATAACAACAAATAGGGCTGAGAAGAGGATGAGGTTAAAGCAATGTTTGTCCCCACGCCGCTGAACGTCCTGTCTTTGAGGTGTCCCTGGAGCCGGGGACAAGGCGTGAGTGTTCGCCTTGCTCTGCAGAGCAGGAAATAATGAGACGCCGTTACCTAAATGGAGCAAATTGCATTCCTACATTGTTTTACTGAGGCAAAGCCTTAATGCTCTGCCTGGAGAGAGACAGAGGGCAGCTGGTTTTCATCTGCCTTAGCACAGCACGAGGAAGAAGCCTCAAAAAGGGAACAGTTATCTATTTTGTGTAGAAAGCCAACAAGCTTTCAGGGGTTCTCAATAGCCTCAAGAGTTTTTTGGGGTCCCCACCTTGTGCTTGCTGCTGTCAGCAGATGGTGTTGTCCGGGGTCTGGAGAATGGGGGTTTGGGACTTCATGCTTGTGCATAGCTTTGCCAGCTGGGAGGCACTTCCCTGCCTCGGATGGTTTCCAACTCGTCCAGTCTCAGCATGTCCAGACCCTGTGTCACTGGGCTGAAACTTCTCGAATAATTCCTGCTAATCTGGGCTTCATTTCCATGCTTTCAGCGTGTCTTTTATGACAGGGCTGTCAAAACCAGATCCTCACCTAGGGCTAAAGACAAGGCTGGGGGACTTTTCTTCCAAAATTTATCCCTAAGGGAAGAGGTGCTTTGCTTGCACCACCTGTAGGGATGCTTCTTGCCCCGATGGGTTGATTCTGCTCCGGTGGCTCTTAGATCCCACCTAAAGAGTCCTGGGTGCTGCAGAGCTGTGCAGAAGCACATTTCCTTCCCTGAATAGCTCATGATCTAAATAAAACTGATTGAGATGCACAACGCGGATGGAGAAGTCAAGGCGAGGGGGAAAGGAAGAGTCTGGAAATGGCAGGTGGAGGGGAAGCACCATGGAGCAAGGGGATGGGGATTATTAGATGAAGCTGTTCAAACCCAGCAACGACCGAATTGAGACCACCTCTCTGAGCCGTCAGTGCTGATGGTTACCAAGCATGCTTGGGAACACCTCATTTGGCCGGGGGAGGGCGGGTGCTCCGGCTCCTCTCCTGATCCGCCATAATTCGTATTGCTGGCTGCGCTCCCGCCCGCCGTAAAGCGATGCGTCAGCGAGAACACCCCGGTGCGTCACTCGCCAGCAGGGATTTCGGTTGCTCGACGTGACGGTGACATTTCACATCAACAGCCGCTTTCACCGAGTCTGGCAGCCGCTCTGCTGGAGTCTGTTGCCAGAGCGGGGCCTCCGAAATAGCTCTTGCTGATGTCTGACCTCTGCATTTCGGCTCGGCTTGCTGGGGATTTTACTTTCCCTTTTATTCATATCCGTTCTCCACTTTAACAGCTGCTCTTTGGGCAAATAGCTTCAAACGTTTCCCCTTTCTGCCTGTGGAGGGATGGGGCTGGGATTTTTCAGAGCTCCTGGGCACCACTGGGGGACAACTGCACCCTTGCACACTTGGTGGCGAAGGCATCTTCTGTCATGCCTGGGTAATGCCCACTCCCAGCACAGCAGTGGCATTCCCTGGGGTAATAAATTGAGTTCTGGGCCCCTCACTAGAAGAAGGATGTTGAGATTCTGGAGCGTGTTCAGAGAAGAGCCACAAGGATGGGGAGGGCTCTGGAGAACAAGCCTGATGAGGAGCGGCTGAGGGAACTGGGCTTGTTTAGCCTGGAGAAGAGAAGGCTGAGGGGAGACCTCAGCACCACCTACAACTGCCTCAAGGGAGCTTGGAGAGAGGTGGGTGCTGGTCTCTTCTCCCAGGTGATGGGGGATAGAACAAGGGGAAACGGCACCAAGCTGTGCCAAGGGAGGTTCAGGTTAGAGCTAAGGAGGAAGTTCTTTCCTGAGAGGGTCGTCAGAAGCTGGAACAGGCTGCCCAGGGAGGTGGTGGAGTCACCATCCCTGGATGTGTTTAAAGAGCGGGTAGATGAGGTACTTAAGGATATGGTTTAGGGGGTAGACAGGAACGGTTGGACGTGATGATCTCAGAGGTCTTTTCCAACCGAGCGATTCTGTGATTCTGTGAGTTCCCATCACAAGAGGTGTTGTTCAGGTTTTGCTAATGATAATTGCTTGGAATAATGTTGTAGGCATTGCTCTTTTGCAAGCAAAAATCTGGGTTGTGTGCCTTCCTCAGTAGGGTTCACACACAACTGAGAGCTTCTCTGCACTGCTCTAATGCCTGTTTCTCCCCCAAATCCAGACCTGCTGAGCCGTAGGAGTTGCTGCAGGAAACCTGACATCGTCTTCACCTCCACGTCCGCTGGTTGTAGAGGAGGCAGCATGAATCCTGCCCTGCCCTGGATCCTTCCTCTTGGATGTGCACTGCTCATGGCACAGGCAGCCGAATGCTTTATCTTGCCCAACTCGAGCCACCTGGAGAGCATTTTGAGTAAATACCAGGATGGGGAAACTCACTCCAGATCCAAGAGAGCCATTTTATTCTCGGACAGACAGGAGATACTGATGCTCCACAATAAATTAAGAGGTCAAGTGTACCCAGCGGCCTCTAATATGGAATATATGGTGAGTCTAGCTCTTGATACCTAATGTTATTATTACTTTAAAAAAAGGAGAAATTATTTTAATTTTCCTTACGGTGCAAGAGGTGTAGCAATTTTCCTCTGAAGTGAGTTTCTCTCAAGAGGTTTCCTGGAGCGGTTTCATTCCAGAGCGAGCGATGCTTTAGATGGTTGGACTGTTTTGGTTGGCAAGGGCTGCTAATGGGTCATCGCATCCATCCGCTGCATAGTTTCAGGACTGGTTCCATTATTCATAAACCAGCGTCTGGCCCGGCCCTGGATGCATCTCCAGTGATGGCAATTCCTGCCTCAGCAGGTTCTTCCATTACCTTAATGTCATAAAAGCATCAAATTTTCCCTGGCGTTTAACCCACGTTCTCCCTGCGAAAGCTTTCAGGCTGGTGTTTTGGGATGGCACGGTCTGCTCACAGAAACCTCTGGTGATCTTTGGGTTGCCATCAGCAACCGCCCAGCACTGGAGGCAGCATCTGCCCTTTTGTCACGCACTGATCACCAGAGATTATCGGTGTGAGCCAAGCATCCCCGATGCACCATAGAGAAGCAAGGCTTGAGGAATGTGGCTCCCTCTGCAAAGTTCAGTCCCTGGCATCAGCTGCAAAACCCCAGGAGTTCATGGACGGATGGGACAGCGCTATTGGTTTTTCTCATAGTTCAAGAAACCGAAATAAAAGTTTGGTCAATGAGTTCTCCCACTTCAGAGGCTGAACTTAAAAGCAGGAGTATGAAATATGCCTTTACCATCAACCATTTGGATGAATAGTTTTTCTTCACCTGATGCCAGAGACCCTACTTAGAGCTATTTTTGATGTGCCATCAAAATATTGTGGGGCCAGAAAATGATGTAGGCGGATAATTTGTGTGTGTGTATGTGTCTCTTCCCAGTGTGCAAATATAGTTATGACCGAAACCAGCCTGACTTCAACTGTGTGCTGCTGCTGACAGATTAAATGATTAATGATTTGTCAAGCCCGTGATCAAAAGGGTAAAAGAAAGAGTACGCTGAATGCAATACACAATTTTTTGCCAGCTGTGTCGAAACGAGTGCTGCAAATGGAAAATCCTGCCTTTTGTGGCTGTAGGGGAAAGGAAAAGAGCAGGGAGAGCAGAGGACAGTAAGGAAGGACAACTCTCCATCAGTTGGTCCCCAAGAGCATTCACACCGCTGGTCTTTCATCCCATTTTTGTCAGAAATCACTCACCTTTCTAAGAACCGCTGTGTTGCATCGCTGTTTCTCAGCAGGCTCTCACGTTATCCTGCTGCAAGGTACTGCCAGCGAAGAGGTAGAGACTGGATGGATATTCAGAAAGTAAACACAAAGCATGAGAAAGCCAAGTGTGTTGTGGTTGGCTTTGAGGATCAGAGAGGGCGGCCGTTGCGGACTGTCCACTGCCCGCCCGCTGTTTGCGCTTGCCGTGTGGTTGCACTTTTGTGTTTGCCTTTGCTCAGTGTGCTTTTCTAGTGGTTTTTATGGGCGATTGAGGGTAAATGAAAGGGCCTTGTATGCCGCGAAGAAAGAAGCTGAGTATAAGATGGTGCTACTTGGAAAGGCTATAATCAGTCTTTCATGTATTTGTGTTTACCCAATATTACTTGGAAATGCTGTGTATATACTGAACGTGAATTTCACTTTAATCCTTTGTCCTCCATAGGACATTTCTCATTTGGACTCGTTTAAGAGGATGGTCTGTCTTTAGTACCGTAGATAAACTTTTCTCTTTGCCTTCCGTGCCGGTGTGGAGCGTCACAGGGGACGTGCGGTGCTAATCTGGGGATAAGTGGGTAGAACTTGTTCTTGCCCATCCACCTCCAAACGTTGCCTTGTGAAAGCCCTTTCTCCCAGCTCCATATCTGACGTATTGAAGTGATCTAAAGTGGCAAGGGGAGCTAATGTATTCCCGGAAAGGGATGTATTTATTTACTCCGGGATGAACTTTAGTCAGGGGAGGCTGTTAATAAGAAAGCAATAACACAGTCAGTCGCATGACTTATCTGGAGATCAAAAGATTTATACACGTATGGGATAAAGGTAAAGTGGAGTGAAGAAAGAAACAGTTTTGCTGCTGGATTTGTATAATAAATCAGAAGCTAGCACAGAGTATTCAGTGTAAATGGAAGATGATTTATAGAGCAGGAGTGAGCAGTGCACATCTCCCTTATGAAGCTGGTCAAATACAGAATTAACTTAACCCTGTACCAGCTTTGTTTGACACTTCCTCAACGTGTTTGGACTCCACAACAGCAGTCACAGGAGTGAATGGGTGCCAAGACCGAAGCAAACTCCTTGTTAATGAACCCAGAGTGAAAAGGACATAATAGTTCCTAGGACTTCTTGACCTTTGAAGATGGCTTAGTCAGATGGCTTTTAGCAGCGATGAAAGGCAGGAATCTCTCCTCTTGCGAAGGCCTCTAAGTCAGCTGGTTAAAACAAAATTGCTCTCAGCACAGATTGCTGGAAGGAAAATAGTTGGTTTTTAATGTATAGTGTATCCATCCTTCCTCTGAGCTGTTTTTGGTGACTTTCCGTGTCAGGATGGGGCAGTATTTCTGTGTGGGTTAGCAAAGCTTCTGCCAGGACGTGGCAGCCCTGGACTCTCATGTCACTTTTAAAAGTAAATTCCCAGTATTACGAAAAGCCTGAGCTGGAGAGAAAATATGAGAGTAACCCAAAGACTGCAATTCAGGTGTCTAAGGTTGGGTTTACAAACCAGTTAGGTCAAGTAGACTCCTTGTGGGGTATGTTCTTACTAAACCTGAACCTACAAATTGCGACATATTGCATGTATGCCATGCATGGATTTTACCTGAATGGTGTATACTGTACTTTGAAAGGCCATTACAAATCTGCAGGAGTAAAAAAGAAAGTCCGTGTGCTCAATTGTGTGGAATTGCACGTACCTGAAGGCTCCTCAATCTCTGCTTGAGAAGGAAACCGAGCACAGACCTACACCACCTCTGTGGCCTCAGTAGTCTTCCTAGATACCGCTTTGAATATTGGCATTAAAAAAAATCTTGCAAACATAGCTGGGAAAAGTCTGAAATGTATTTTTTTTGATATGTTTATTGCTCTGAAACAATCCCAGCCTCCTGACCGCATTCACGTCTGAGAAGCAAGAGGCAAATAACTGCTCTAATTTAAATGGGATGGCTTTGTAATCTGACGCTCGCAGCAATGAGCTTCTTTACTCATCAGGCACAAAGCCATGCAAAGATGTGGCTCATTCCCAATTGCCTCTTGAGCATCTTTTGTCCTAGTTAATTTATTTTATCCGTAGGCATCAAAGGAAGATGTAACGCATACGTTCATATTGATTTCTATTTAATGACCTGTTGCTCATAATGTGTCTGCATTAAATTAGGAGATTGGAACAGGGAATAACACTCTGCTAGAAAGTCTGAAGCATTGCAGCGTGTAATATCTTAGAGTTTCTGTGGCTTGTGTTGGATGGCAATGTGGGTTGTGGTGGTCATGGCCCAGTGCAGAGAGTGGGAGACCACAAAGAGCTGTGTCTCTGGGCACAATTGCAACCATCTGCTTGAACAGAGGTTTGGAAAGGTGCTTCTGGTGGGTCAGATCCCATGCACCTTCAAGGAGCTGGAGGGCTGTGATGGAAAATGGCTTCATTCCCCCTGTCAGAGCTGCGTCCACACGGGGTTTTGCAAACTGATGTGGATTTGCACGGCCATCGGTTGGTTCAAAGCCAAGCTGATGAGCTCAGAGCAGCTCTGGGACGCTGTTGGAATTTGGGTTGCTGAGCACGCTTAATGATAAGCTGTTCCTGGAGGTCTGGGCTGTTCACTCCATTGGCTGAGCTCATGTTTGCCTCATGAAGATAACGTGGACACACCAAGTTCCAGGAGACGCTGCTTTTTTCTGTCGTCTTAGCCAGGGACACGCAGTCACTCCCCATCACAGTTATAACAGCCTAGACTGTGTTCATGTACTTACTGAGAAAGAGAACTTGATGGTTTTTAAATGTTTGAGAGCCTAAACGCCCCCTCCAGTCCTCCAGAAGGGCTCTGGTGGGCGCTTTGATATACTTGAGATCAGGAGTTGCTTTTCTCCTGGAGTAAACAGCACTGAAAAACCAGTGGGTTGTGATGGTAGTTGTTCAAAGAGGACATAAAGTCGTGCTGGCACGTGAATGGGCTGGAGATGCGTTACAGGACCGCT